TGAAGCTGGCTCGTAACCCAAATTTTAGCTCGAAACTCAAAGCAAAAAATCGGCCGAGAGACGGCTCCTCGAAAAACTCGTTAGTCTGGACACTCGTAAGTCAAGGCCCCACTGTGTGTGTGTATATATATATATATATATATATATATATATATAATTAACCGGGACACCGTAATGGGTCGACCTGACAGGAGGTTGTGCGCACAGCGTAGGGGACAGGACGGCAGGGGCCTGCGCTGGGGGAGGGCCTGATCAGCAGCTGCTGCAGCTGCTTCAAGTGCCAGAGAGGGAGGCAGGACTGGACCAGAGGGTGGGCGGCGCAGTATGATTTCGAATCGCGTGTTGGGCTCCTAGTTTGTAATATTCTAACACCCTGAAACATCCTGGCATTCCTCATCCTCCTAGTCACTTAGCTTTCCTCCATACTACTTATTTCCATAGGACATAATGCATATTTTATTTATAAATTGTTATTTATCCCCTCTTATGAGAATGTCAGCTACAGGAGAGCAGGGTTTGCATATTGTGTGTACTGTTGTTTCTCCAGCACCTGATGTAGGCTCTTAATACATTAAGTTGTATGAATGGATTTAATGAATGGCTTGGATTCATAGATTTTGCTGATGAATTAGATGTGGTGCTGAAAGAAAAGGAGAAATCAAAGATGACTCTCAATATGCTGGCTTAGAAACTGGATAGATATTGATGTCAATTAAGAAGAGGAAGGCTAGGAAGACAAAGTGGGAATTGGGGTAGGAGAAATTGTAAGTTCTATTTGGTACCTATTAAGTCATGGTGTGTAGATTAGTTATCTATTACTACATTAAAACAATTGCCCTACAGTTTAGCAGATTAAAACAAACATGTATTATCTCCCAGGTTCTGTGGGTGGTTCTGGCTCAGGGTCTCTCATGAGGTTACAGTCAAGCTGTCAGCCAAGCTGTAAGATCTGCTTTTGGCTTTTTCACATGGTTATTGACAGACCAGCTGGCCATTGGCCAGAGACTTTAGTTCCTTGCTGTATGGACCTCTCTATAGGTCTGCTTCCCCCAGAGTGAATGATCCAAGAGAGAAAGAAAACCCAAGATAGAAGCTACCATGTTTTAACCTAATCTCCACATGGCACACCATCACTTCTGCTGTATCCTGTTGGTCACACAGACCATCCCTGCTGAGGTGTGGGAGGATGTGAATTCTGGAAAGGGCAGGAGTTGTTTGGGGCCACTGCAGAGGCTGCCTACCAGAAGGTATAGGAGATATCCAAAGGTAAGCTGTTGGGTATAGTCTACTGTAGCTCCCAGAGATCCGATCTGCAGATAATTATTTGGAAGTCATCATGATATATGAAGCTGTTAGAAATGTACAAGAGGTCCCAGGGAGAGAAATAGGGAAGGGAAGAGGACCCTGGACCAATCGAAGAGCCCAACATTTAGAGGTCCAGTGAAGAGGAGCCATCAAAGGAAGATGGCCAGTAAGCAGTGAGGAGGGAGAGGGACCAGGACAGTGTGTATTCTGGGAGTGACTTAACTGAAAGACAGGTTTCACTGGACAAGTTTCTCTTCCCCTGAAGGGTAGGAAATACCTTGAATATGGCTGAAATAAAAATATTTTCTGAAAAAATGCAATTTAACATAACTTAAATAAAGTATGAATAGTTAAATGTTGACCCAGATAGGAGTAAAGAACAAGAGGACACATATACAGATAGAACATTTAAAGTTTTGAAAAGTCTATGCTTATGTACTTAGTGCCCCCTTGGTCTGATGTTTGGCCATAGCTCCCTGGGGTAGTAGTAGAAGGTAGAAAATCCCTATGTAAGGCTTTCAGAGGTTGCTGTTGGAAATTAACCTTGAAGACAAAATAATGAACTGTATAGCATGGGAGAAGCTACTGACCTTGGAAAATGTTCATCTTTGCCTCCATATGCTTTGTGTTACTATATGAGGAGTCTTGCTCTTCAAACATCTTAAACTAGAGGCCCGGTACACGTATTCATGCACTGGTCAGGGACGTGGCCTATAGGGATCGGCCTGCTGTGGAGCGCCACTCATCCTGATCAGCTGAGCGGTGCTCCCACTGTGGGAGCACACTGACCACCAGGGGGCAGCTCCTGTGTTGAGTGCCTGCCCTAGTGGTCAGTGCGCGTCATAGCAACTGGTAGACAGGTCGTTCTGGTCATTCTGCCGTTCGGTTGCTGGGCTTTTATATATATAGTAGGGGCCCAGTACACGAATTCATGCACCTTGAAAGGAACTGTGGGCCGTGAGGCTGCGGTAGGCACAGGGACAGGTCTATGCCCATCCTCCACACCCCTGGCTGGCTCCTCCTTCTGTGGCCCTCTGTCTGCCAGCAGCCCATTCCCGCCGCTGCCGCTCCCATGTGCTAACAGCACCGGCCCCGCTTGCACCTGCTGAAGGTGCGGAGCAATTGGGACCAGCGCCAGCAGTGGATGTGAGCGGCAGTTGCTGCCCCGATCGACCCTCAGCAGCTCCCCCTCCTGGAGAAGCCCTCAGGGGTGATCAGGGCCAGCAGCCACAGCTTGCATCCACTGATGGGGCTGCGCAATCGGGACTGGCGCCAGGCACCAGCAGTGGGCGCAAGCGGCAGCTCCGGCACCAGCTGCGGGTGCAAGCAGGACCCGCACCAGCAGCAGGTGTGAGAGGCGGCTGCTGGCCCTGATCTGCCCTCAGGAACAGGGCCCTGATGGGCGATTGGGGCCGGCAACCACTGCTTGCACCTGCTGATGGCACCAAGTAATTGGGGCTGGTGCTGGGCACCGGCAGCAGGTGTGAGTGGTGCCAGTGCCAGCAGCAGGTGCAATCGCCGGGCAGGACCATGGTGTGTGGGAGCAAAGAATTTTCAGTAACCACCAGAGGCTCGCCCCGATGACAGCGACCGGTGCCCCACCTCGGTCTGGCGCCCTCACTCACCTGCTCCACCATCCCGCCGCAGCCGACGCCCGCCATGTTCCGTGCACGACCCCTGGTGGTCAGCACACGTCATAGCGACCAGTTGTTTGGTTGTTCCGGTTGTTCCGCCGTTCAGTCTATTTGCATATTAGCCTTTTATTATAAAGGATAGATACCCCAGTAACCATATACTAACAATACCGGGAATTCCTGATTAAGCTATGTCTTGCTCAGGGGTCCTATGGACTTCACTGTTAATAAGAGAACCTGAGATGATTATTGAATATGTTTTCCCTTTACCAGATAAGGCCTCCTTCCTTTGTTTTCTTTAGCTGCTCTTTAGAATGTATTTTCAATGGTCCAGGGTTTTCTAAAGAATTTCATTAAAAATAAAAAGTCTTCCCATTCATAGACATCCCTCGCTCACTTAGAATTTAAAAAGAAGAAGAAAAATAAAATACCTGTTCCTAACTGACCACCTGCACAAACTGGCTCTGTGGTTCTGATTACCTGTTTTATGAGAACAATATCAACCTGAGTATAAATACCTCTGCCTGCTCATAATGGGAGTCATGAGTGTTAACCATTTCTCTTTCCCCTCCCAATTAGACATTGCCATGTGACTTGCTTCGATCAATAAGATATAGGAGGAGTGACATGTGTTACTTGCAGGTAGAAGCTGTAAAAGCCAGTGAGACATCCCTGGCTGGTTTGGTTCAGTGGATAGAGCATCAGCCTGCGTACTGAAGGGTCCCAAGTTCGATTCCAGTCAAGGGCACATACCCCAGTTGCAGGCTCATCCCCGGCCAGAAGGTAACCAATTGATGCATCTCTCTCACATAGATGTTTCTGTTTTTCCACTCTCTCTAAAACTCAATGGAAAAATATCCTCGAGTGAGGA